TGCCAGTATCATTTTCCAATGCACTGAATTCTGTTAGCATCCTTGTGTAAGCACATTGATTAAATGTCTCAAATAGTGGGCTTGATGGAATGGGGATCAGTCACCATTTTAGGTTGGTTTTTTTTTAAGCTGTAAATTATACAGAAGGCAGAGAAGTGATGTGAGCAGAATTAGTACTTGCTGTGTAACTTCAGTCCCGCTCATAACAGCTTTTCAAATGCAGCCCAGTGAGCATGGCTGTTCAGGTACACAGAATAGGTCAGGCTGCTTTCTCTTTTGCAGTGTAACAGTATTTGTTTTCCTTGCAATGCTGCAAAATGCTTTTTCCGTTATTTAATTCGCTTAATAACAGTCATCTATGTATAGAATTTGGCAAATGAAATTTCTGAAGGGTAAAATGTATTTTCCCCCGAAGTACTTGCTCATTACGGGTTGCGTAATTGCTGTGGCACATTCTAGTTTCTAAGGCACCAGCTTTTGATTTTGATCAGGTACTTCCCCTTTGCTGTCCTTGTGATTTTCAAGGGACTTCCAACTAGTCTGTATGCATTTTCTAAAAGCTGAAAGTAACACATGTCCTTCAAGCTGCAAAATGATGATCTTTCTGAGCGTGAACTTGCCTTCCTGCTCTGCTGAGGAAGGGTAGCTACCACAAGAGTTGAGTGGAAAAGTGAACTACCTCTCTTCAGAGCAACACGGTGGTCCCAAGGATGAAGTGATCTTTCAGGTAGCAAAAAAAGGATGAAGTGATCTTTCAGGTAGCAAAAAAAATTCATTTATGTAGGATTACCTTCTGAGAATAAATGTCCAGCAGCATTCACAAGAGTGCTGCGGCTTGCTTTCCTCCAGGCAGTTTCCTGGTTTACTGTTCAATGCTTCATCTCTACCTGTTCATCAGAACATTTTCTTTCCTTTGTATCTTCTACCTCCCCACTGGGGAAGCTTACATACGCTTACTGCCACTGTGTAAAGGAGAAATTGAAGCATACAGATGTGTTTTGGGCACAACCGTGGGACCACACACGCTCCTCCAAGTCCACCATATGTGTGCTTTTCCCCCTGCTTCCCAGGTCGACAGAGACATATTCTAGGAGGATTTCAAATTGAGTTGTAATCCAGGTGCTTGTCAGAGTTCTTTGAAGTCCTAGACTGTCCATTTGAAAGCAAAATATTTGAGTATCCTTACTTCTCAGGGTTCAGTTTCTGGCTTGGATATGCTAAAAAGGATAAATGAAACCTGGCATCTTTTTCCTCATTTCTCCTTCCCTCTCCTATACAAAGACATGTCCTCCTTTAATTGAGATCATATATCAAGTTAATAATTTTTTTTTCATTTAATGCATTGTTTTAATGTTTCACTTGGCTCTCCTGTATTTAAATCATCCTTCTATTTGCAGTTGAGCAGGATGACAGAAATAACTGTGGTCTCATAGTCAGTCAATGGAATTTTCCTGCATTTCTCTGCTGATGACTTGGCTGACTCTTAGAGAATCTAAATGCTTTTGCATTTTTGCATGCAGGAATGAGGTGGTTTCCCTCCTGCATTCCTGTATTTTTCCCTATCTGTAAGTCTTACTGGGATTTGGTTTTGTTTATTACGCAAACAGTAGCTACAGCATTGTGTATTGGGTCATAGATCACTGCCTGAAATGAAGGTTGCTGCAAGCCTCATTGAGGGTGGGTTAAAAAAACTCCATGGCCTCGTGACAGCCAATTTAAATGTGTATATTTGGGGGGGGAAGAGGTTCCAGATCCCCTCAGGGCTTGCATTGTCAATTGTGTTTGGTTATTGCTTTTGCAGCCATTAGTTTCTTCTCTTTCTTTAATGCAGCAATACCATTTGCTACGCTGGCCCTCTTTTCCTTCTCGGATTTTTGGCACACGAAGGCAATCATTGCTTGTTAACATTGAAGAGTGGTGGTTGTTTTTAAAAACTCACATTGTCCCCAATTACTGCAGTTCTGTACCCTCAGATAAAATACCTATTCTGCGAGGAGTCATAAAGATATGCTGTAACAGCTCATCCTCCCACCCCCCCCCTCTCCTTCAGTTATCAACAGTGCGTCAGTGGAAATTTCCACCATTTGCTAACGTGAGAGAGAGCACAAAGTTGCAAAGCAGCCTTTGGAGGAAAAAAAAACTATTGCCGTTTTAGGAGCACAATGAAGAGCAGCGTCCGACTTGCAAGCAGAAATGAAATGAAATTCTTGAGGAGCTGAGGGATAAAATGGTGCGGCAGAGGGCACAGATTGCAATCCGAATGAATGCTTCTGCTAAGGGAAGGGGACATGAAAGTGGTGGAGGATCACTAGCTAGATTTTTCTCCCCCCATCCTCCTTCCTGTTAGTTGTAACTGTGAGAGCATCTGGAAGGCTTCTTCCCAAGGAGAAGAGTAAAGTGTCATCTGTTAAATTTACCAGTGGCTTTTAATGGCTTTAACAGAAAATGACTTTCCCTTTTTAAGGGGTGTGCATCCTTCAGATGTTGCTGTGCAGTATTTCTAATGAAACAGTAGGTTTGGTTTACCAAATATATTAAGCCAAATCCTGTTCCCCTTTGAAGCCTGTGAGGATTTGAGTGGAGGACTGAGCCCACCAGAGTTCCTCCAAATTCATCCTGAGGCAAATTATTCCTTCAGCTTTCAGTAGCCTTTCTGCAGTCAGAGGAGCAGCACCTTTGCTGACATGACCTGGCACTGATCCCTTGGCTTCAGAGATGCTAGGCTGCAGTCCACACTGGCTGGGCTTCTGTTCTGGAGCATTCGTTGCTTCAGTGTGGGCTGCAGGGAGATTTTTTTGCTATCAGACCTCTCAAGTACAAGAATTCAGTGCTTCAGCCTGGCCTTTCTGAAAAAGGCTTCAGAGATGAATTGTGGCTGTTAATGCAGATGCCTGTGTAAGAGGTTCAGGACTAGATGCAGATTTAAATTAGATATTAGGAAGAAATTCTTCCCTGTGAGGGTGGTGAGGCACTGGCACAGGTTGCCCAGGGAAGTTGTGGCTGCCCCATCCCTGGCGGTGTCCACGGCCAGGCTGGATGGGGCTTTGAGCAACCTGGGCTAGTGGAGGGTGTCCCTGCCCTTGGAAGGGAGTTGAAACTGGATGAGCTTTAAGGTCGCTTCTAACCCAAACCATTCTGTGATTCTGTGTCTGGCTAAGGAGAAAAGCATCTTCGTCATATTTTCCCTAGGTAGATTCCACCCCTGTGCAGTCATCCAGCATGTGTTGCTTGAATCATTTCTGGCCCAATGGGTCTGCTGTGTGTAATGTTTTTGATGTAGCACTTTTAGTTGGATGAAAATGAACTCCATGCAGCATAAAGAACATGAGCAGATTCATTGTTCATGACCTCATCTCCTGTATTTCCTGTTCAGAGTCCCAGTTCAGCTTCTGGTCTTGGGAACTTACCCTCCAACAGTACCTTTATGAAGATGGACTTTCGCTAGCTTAGTAAGAATCCATACCTCTTGCAGAACAAAGTCCCCTCTATTAGGTACAATTGTTAAATCAAAGTGGGATGCTTGATCTTGCTTGGGTAATACAACTTCAGTTAAGGGATATCGCTTTCAGGTTGTACTGATGCTTCATGGGGAGGTGTGCTTGAGTGGACTAGGAGGAAAGGGGAGCTTTCATAAGAAGATGTGTAAAGATGAAAATGAAATAGCTAGGTGGCAAGTTCTGTGTTGTACATTTAACCTTTAGATTACTTGGAAAGTAGTTGGAAACAAGGGGTTAGTTCTCTTCACCTGGATTTCTGAGGCAGTGGTAGTGTCTTTTCGGTAGTTAGTGCCATGCCAATGCAGTCAAATGTGTTACAGCACTGTTGACAGTGCTACTAGTTCATACACAGCATTTCAAGGAAGGATGGATGGCCAGTGACATGGCTCACTCATTTTTTCACATTAGCATGATGGCTGTCACTAGGTCGCTCAGAACTTGCAGGAATAGTAGACTTTATGTTGCTAATGAATTTAAGGTATATCTCGTATTAAAAGATGGGATCTGAATTTGCATATCCGAGATTAAGTTAGTGTGCAGCTTTCAGTTGCGTCCCTTGTCTGAAATGGGACTCCTGAATTGCAGTAGACTGCTTTGCTTGTTTGGGTGTACTGGCATTTTGAAAGCCTCTTCCAAAATTATGGTTGAGCTCAGGAAGAAAGGGCAGCTCTTCAGCAAAGGAGTTTCATTGCAGTGGTAACCTTGGTGACCTAAAATATTAATGGGGAGCAATGTTCTTTCCTGTAGGTGGGTGGTTGGCTTTTTCTTTATAGATGTCAAAGACAGCTTTGTGGTGGGCAGGAAGCACTTACCTGAAACACTGCGTTTTATACATGCTGTGCATGTGTGGAAGTAAGACCACCTCGGTCCCACCAAGTTCAGCAGGGCAAGTCCCAGCTGTGCAAGGGGAGTACACAGCTTCAGCTCCTACCCTCAGATTAAAACTTTAAGCCATGTTCCCATCAAAGGTGTACCTGATTTGGGGTAAATCCATCTCCTTGTGTTTCCTTTGCCCCCATTTTTTTTTTATAATTTCCATTCAGCTCCGAGGCAGAACTTTTAAGGAAGAAATGTGCCTGTATGTATGTAAGCTTGAGATGGTTCGCACTGGCATCTGTTCCCCAAAGAAACAATGTCATGAATTTGAAGAAGAAGGATGCATGTTGTAACTGAAATAAATGTGTCACCTCACCTCTTTGAAAGACTGTTCACATCGAGAGGTGGAAATGAATGTAATAGGTACAAGAAGAGTAAGTTCTCTTTAATCTCCTTGGGTAGGCAGTGCTGTACAACAAAGAAGAGTTCAGGCTGAGCCTGCTTCAACTGAATTTTTCTTATTTGAAATTAAGATAATACCGAGGTTTTATTATAACAATCCTGGTACCAAAATGTAAGCAAAAAAAAATCTTATTCAAGAAATCCCACAGAACAGTTAGTTGCATGACTTAAAGTTGTTGCAGTACAGGTAGTTTTTTTACATTGTGTGTATGTTTCTCATTGCAGGTATTTTTTGATAGACTTAGAGGCCCCACCTACGATTGTAACGACCATGATGGACCATTTAGGACGTGATATTGATGTAATTAGACGTGCTTTTATAAAGCATCCTCTATCAAAGACAGAAGAATGCAGTGGCATAATCCCAGTCAACTATAACGATAAACTAGTTGCCAAGAAGTGAAATACTCAAAATAGTGTGTTTGAAACCTTTACAAAATTTTTTACTCCTGTTTTGGAAAACAACTGTGTTAACTGATGTCCATTATAAATAATCATTTTTGGCCATGTTATGTGTGTGACATAGTACACTAAAGCTATTGTAATAGTTGAGGTTTCTTTTTGTTTAGAATAATTTGAATAGATTTAATCTGTATGCTTATCTTGATATTTGACAACTCTGAAAATTGATTTTCTTTCCTTAGAGCATTACATTGATAATGAAGATTTGTCCATCACCAGAATGCTAAAAATAGCATTCTTTTTCCAAAGACAGATTACTGCAGAATATGTATATTTACATAAGAGATTAAGAAACCTACAGTGTAAATATAGCAGCATAGGATGATTTGTTGGAGGGGGGTTTTGTGCTTGTTTTTGGAAAAAGTTAATAAAAATGTGTTTAAAAATAAACTGACTCATTTTTCTTTAAAGCGGAAAAGGTACAAGAAAAAACAAGTTATGCTGCCAAAAGACATGTATCATACTGATTTCTTTAAGGTAATAACTCTGTTCAAAGTACAGGTAAAAACAATACAGAACAGGCCAGAAGCTTCCAAGTGACAGGTTAGAGAACGGCTGTACTTGTATATGAACAGAAGAATGACAGATGCTTTGTTTTACCATCAGCTAGACCCAGGTGGACACTTCAAACTGAGGAAAACATCAAGACAAAGGTCTTATCGCATATTTTGTCTTTCTTCTGCTCTTATGAACACAGAGAAAAAAGCAATGCACATGGAAGATGGCACAGGACAAGCTCCTGCAGGTCTCACAAAAATTCAGTAGTTTCCAGCGGATGTCTGTATTTCCCCTATGCTACTGGAGGAATGCACTGGCAATTTCTCCTTCTGAAGGAGTGTGTGTGTATAGTTATTTCTGTAAAAGAAACCTTGGAAGCCAAGGTCAGATTCCGAGAGACCTGTGATGGGTCTTGTTGGTGTGACTACTCTTTTGCGTGCTGTTTCATCATGAGTTTGTCTCTTTTTCATGGAGGTAGCTGGGTCATTTTTTGGGGGAAAGGGGGTGTTTGTGTGCTGCTTTTTTTCTTGGATGCAGAACTTGGGGGGGGGGGGGCGGGGAGGGAGGGAGGAGAGAGAAACCAATGTTTTTTTTCTAAGTATCTTCTTTTTTAAAGGAAAAAATGCATTAGAAAAATAAGGAGGAGGCTTTCTTTCTGCATGTCTTTATTTAGGAGAAATGAATGCATGTGGTTTTGTGGGGTTTGGTTTTCTGGTGTGTTTTTCTGTTTTTTCAATCTGCTTTTCTTCTAAGAGCAGACTGTCACATTTTGTCTCTCCTGGAAAAAATGCTGGAAGAATGGAGGGAATGCACTACGTGCTTACTGAAGGTGGTTCTATATTAGATGTGCTTTTATTTTTGTAGTTACTGCCACTTTTGATCATGTGGTTGTGTCTGCTCCGATGCCTGCTCCAGGCAGAGCTTTTCTTATCAATGATATTTCTTTGTAGAACAGGCCCTCCTTCCGTACACGTATGAGCTTATGTTTGTAAGTCTGTGCTGCAGGTTTGGCTCCCTGGGCTGCCCTTTCTGTTGGGCTGCTGAAAATTCAGATTGGCAGCACAGAAAGCACAAACTACAGGTAGGGAAACACAGAATGCTTTAAGTAATGTGTCTTACTTAGGGGTTTCTCAGAAGCTTTTATTAAATAGAATGTGAAGAGAAAACCTGTAGTTTAAAGTCGCTTTGCCTCTGGTTTGGACTTTGGGCCCTAGATTTCATTCGAATAGAAGAGGGAATATATAAGCTTCCGACGTCACAAAACAAAGATGATGGTAAACAGAGGCTGTACACACATGAATGTTGTACGTTTGCCTTCATTCATTTTCCTTCAGCATAGTAATAAATTTTGCATTTAATTTGTTCCAATTTCTAGGTTGAAGCCTGTGTTCAGTAGGAAAATCCTAGCTGCTCATTGGAGATGAGCCTAACAGCTTATTATTCAATACATGATGTTATTTGTTGTGAGACTGACCTTTGGTCAGTCAGACATTTGTCCCACTCCTTTCTGTGGGACCCGTTTCTGACCTTAACAGAAGATTGATGGATGTCAAGAACAGAAGCCTGGAGCTCCTGAGTCCAGCTCGTGCCAAGAGCAGATCAGCCGTAGTGCATCTTTTGGAGCTGCAGCTCCTGTTTTCTGAAGTACTGAGCATGCAGAGGGAAGTAACCAAGAGTCTTCTTTGCCTTTAGGATAGAAACACTGACCCCTGAAACCAGTGGCCACAAGCAGAGCCATGCTTGTCTTCCTGGTGCGTGGGGTACATAAGCATTGGTGCTTTCTCAGCAGCAAGATTTATTTATAAAAGGCCTGCTGAGTAGCTGGCTCTCAACTGGATGTGCTATTTTCCTCATAATTGATAGTTTCTAATATGAACATTTTTTATTTTGCTGTTTTAATAGCGGGTGGGGTGGGGGAAGCTGAGGAAGGAGCCTTGGCTTGCAATTTGTTTAGCCCAGTCAGCCACCCAGACTGGTAGGTAGCTATTTTGGGTGCCCCTTCTCTTTCAATAGCTGTAAACACAGGAATGGACATGAGTAGATCAGGAGATTTGAGTAGTTCTGTGTTTGAGCAAACATTCTGAGTTAAGCCATGGGAGAAAGCTAGTAACTGTACCTTTAATGGTCATAAATTATCTTCACAGAGGAAGAGAAACCTTAGCACATCTTTCAGATGGGTTTACCTTTTTGATCATCAATAGCTGGCTTGTCCCCCTAGGCTGTGAGCGACTCTTGATCTCCAACACTAGAATTTCAGGACACTGCGATGTCACTGGAGAGCCAGAAGAGCCTGTGCAGCCAAACTGTGGCCAAATACCTAAAATGTCAAACTCCGCTGGTATTCCCAAAGGCCTGAACGGTTTGAATACCAGTACTTCAAATTTTGTTTACCAAAGAATCCAGTAGTGAAGCTCTTCATCCCATCCTTAGATTATGTTTCTGAGTGTATAAAGTAAGTAGCTTTATGCTCCTAGGTACTCTGGTTTTCTTGTTTGTGGATTGTGGAGATACACAGAGTTGGGTAAGTATTAAAATAACAACTGGCAGTTCTCCTGGCTCAGAAGTGTTTTATTTTCTCAGTCTTAACCTTCAGCAAACAAACAAGCACAAGTGGTTTTATGGTGAAGATCTGAGGTATGTCTTCAATCACTCCTTTTTTCCTGATCTTGTTTCTCTCAGCTCAGTCTGGAGCTCTGGAGGTTTCTTCAGTAGACAGAGGGTGCTGCAGCAATAAGGCGTTCTGCAGAGCACTCTGTGTTGCCGCTGGCTTGACCCCAGGAAGTTTGTGCATGCAGTGATTTGCTCCCATGGACCAAGAGTGCATCTTCTGACTAGTCTGTCAAGATCCCCTTTGTTGACAGTGTGAGCTTAAAGAATTCCAGGATCCTCAGTGTCAGTAGAATACTTCTATCACTAAATGTTTTCATGGCACTCTGAAAATCATTTTTCTGCTGGGCTTCTACTTCAGAGCTGCAGGCTGAGCTGAGTAGAGCAAGCGCACAGGGATGTATTGTTTTGGAAATCATCCGAGGAATAATTAGAATGGCAACAGTTGACATGACTCATGGACTCCTACTGTTGAATCTAGGCTTTGATCACCTAAACATATCACCTGTCACTTAATGAGATCAGTTTCTGTTTAGTAAGTTGCTATGTTCTGTTATGAGGAAGACTTGGAAATTTAAAGCAGTGCTGTTGGAGTCATAGAAATTTCTATTAAGACATGAGCAATCTGCCACACGTTATTTCTGCTCAAAGCAGCTCCTAGGGTCTGTCCAGCATGCCATTGTCTCCGGCATAAATGTTCAAGAATCTGAAGGCAAAACTTCCAGATACTTTGAACTTGTGGCATGTAATCACAGGCTTAAAACTCATGAGTACTGTTTAAAAAGGGAGCTCTTTTTATTGGCCTTTTAGATCTCATGATTCACTTTTTTCAAACATCGTTGCTGGCACGATTTTCACATCACATCTGACTGAAGAGTTCTTGGAAAAACACAAGCTATAGCAAATGAGATGCCTAATAAATTCATGGGGACTGGTGCTATGTCCCTCCACCCACTGAAGCAGAACAAGAGAAATTAAAAGGAAATCTGTGTCCTTTCCTAGAATGCTGAGGTTTAGGTAGGATAAAAGTGAGAATTGATGCGGCACCAAAACACGCCTTTTCCCAGCTGCTGCACAGAGGAAAGCTTAAAAATGTGTTGCTGTCTGTGACCTATGTGATCTGTTGCTTTCTTAGTGCTGCTTCAACAGACCTTTAAAAACATGTAGGCTGCAGCTGCAGCTTAGGCTAATGCTGCTCCCCTTTGCACAGCTATTTGTGCAGTGCTGCAGAGGAGTGGGAGTCACCACTTATTGAATGCTGGTTAACGTGAGGAGTAATGTATTGACAGATTCCAGTTTGGAGCACTTAAGTTTGCCTTCTAAAAGCATTTTTAATGGGATGTAGTGCTCACTGTAAACCTAGGGAGTTTTCATTCCTGGTATTTTTTGCATTGTGCTTGGGCTGCCAAGTCAACCTTGTTAAGAGAACGGCACAGAGAAAATCTGGCTTATTAAGATCTTTGACACATTTGCGTTGAGGATAGTGTTGGGAGTTTGAATAGTTTTGGCTCCACTGTATGCACTAAGAGGCCTCTGGCTGAATTCTTGGAGCAGATGTATCCTGACAGTACTTTCTTGATGCACTTCTCTCCCTTTAGCCACCTTAGCAGGGCTTGCAGACTTCTGAACTGTTGAAGACTCACATGATCCCCTTCCATGCAGAGGTTTGCTGGTGCATCTTGGAGAACGCCCAGTACATGCAGGGCTCCCATGGAGCTTCTGACTGTGGCAGTGAGGTAAGTTCAGCTCAGTTTTCTGCTGAGGGCTGATGTGAAAGTTACATGCAGGGAGAAAAAGTCTTCTTATTTCCCTTCACGATTCACGTTGATAGCAGCAGTGGGGTGAGGCAGGGTGGAGGGGGCTTGTTGCATATTCACTGTTCTTGCAGGCTGTCTGCTCCCCTGTTTTTTGTATGTGACGAGCAGAATGAAAATGTCATATAGAATCTGTTCTGTCTGTATGCACTGCTAACTGGGAGATACATGACTGAGGAAAATGTAGGGAGCAGGATGTTTATTATCTTATTAATGCACAGGCATCATTCCCATTCTTTTGCTGAGTGGGAATGTTATGGAAAATATACACTTTTTAAATGTCAAGGAGGTAAGCACCTTAGAAGTTGCAAGGCCGCATAACGCTGGGGTAGTGGAGTGGATGGGGCAAGGCTGTTTGGAAGTAAGTATCTGCAGCTGTGGTCATAACAGATCACGGTGTGTGAAAAGTGTGATGCAGAAGGGTGTCAAAGGAGTAGAGGGTCTGTGTGGTGAAGCTGATGGGACCCACGC